TCAATTTCTACTTGTAAAGTTGTTTGGCAGGTATTAGGGGCAAGTGTTTTAAGCCTAGTGGAGGTAGAGCATCACATCCTACTCTGCTTGAGCTTTTCCCTGCTCAGTTTTCATAGTTGGCATTGCATACACTTGTGGTTTGCTAGGGCAATTGGCTTCATAATGCCCTTTTTGTCCGCACTGGAAGCAAGTGTTTGTAAAAGGTGCATGTATATAATTTGGGCTGGAAGGACCAGGTCGAGAATTGCCAGTAAGGTTCCATAGTCGCGGTCAAACTGGCGAAGCGTACATGGGATGGAAAGGGTTTACTGACTCATATGAGCGAGAATTACATTCCAGTGGCTGATAACCCAGTTACTGCGGCCAATATTCAGAAAAGGATGGAGCGGGGGCAACAGAGGGTTTTCAGGCTACATTGGGGGCGCCGTTCATGGCAGAGAGTTGTCATAAGGCGTTCACAATTTGAATGAGGCTGGTCTCCCCATCCAACACATGGGATATAGCATTATATAGTTCCCAATATGGTTTGACCACCGCCATCATCGCTATACCTACATCCTCTCTGGTTAGAATATTAGCCCCAAGTAAAACGTGAGCTTCCGCCAAAAACCGCTTGGCAAATTCTGACAAGGTCTAATTTTTATTAAACTGTATAGTCATATATTCAGCTTTTTGTTAAGACATCTTGTTAGTGCCTTCAAACAGCTGGATAGCTATTGCTTTTACTTGGGCATAAGACACCGAGCTATCTGGAAGATAGAAGGTCACTTGGTCAGCGCTTTTCACATCTAAAGAAGATAGTAACAACTTCTCTTTCCATTGATTGGTAGCCCCTTCCTCTGCAAATTCGAAATGTTTAAATTACCTGTGTAGGTTTCCATTATGACTGAAAGGAGGTAACTTTTCACTATGGATGAATTCAATCAGCTCTCAGGTTCAGCTGCAAGGGGCAGGCGAACTGGATTCAGAGCAATTATGGGAACCATCATTTGGTGTGTTATCATGCCGCCATCCAGATGAGGTTAAGCTCATCGAAGTGGAATCAGAAGAAGTGTCATCACGTGGGGGGTCTGTTGTACCACCTGATGGAAACTCATTTGCTGATCCATAACATTCTTCCCCTGAGTCACCACTAACTGCCCTATTTCCCCCAGCTCCCACGCCCTGTGAACTGTTCGCTAATCAGCTGTTCCATTTTGACTGCAGCACATCTACACCGTCCATCCTGCCATTCATATTGCAGTGTGTTATATTGCTGTTACAATTCTCAGCCAAATTCCTTTTCCTCATTCAGTGTTTGTTCCATAGTTTGTAATCGTGAAAGAACTTCCTCAATTCTATTCTGCATGCGGGTTTGTTGTTGTCTTGCATTTTACGCTTGCTGGTTGTCGTTGTTTATTTGGTTAACAAGAAAAGATTGTTCTCGCACCAATTCCTCATTGGTCCAATGAAGAGTATCAATGCGGGCTTGAATGTCCGCATACTCACTTGTCTCACTGATAGGGAGAGGGGAGACTCATTGGCGTTTTGCCTGACCAACGACTTTTAGTCATGTGATTTGACAAATGAGTTGGGTACTTGGTGTACGTTGACCTAATAATAAGCGCGTTATCAGACATTTGCTGAGTATCCCATTTTATATGGAGTTGATCTAATTCTATTGATAAAGAGCATAACTTGGGCCACCAATTGCAGTTCTATCAGGATCATTCTTTCCTTGAGCTGAGCAATCATGGCTTCAAGAGTTTCTGCCCATTCAGCTAGCTCCATCATACAGCGCTCAGTATTATTCCCCAAGGTTGTCACATCCTGAATCCACTCCGCGGATAGGCCAAACTGTTCCAATAGTTCTCTTATTACTCGAGGTAATTCTGAGTTTAACATGTGGTACTAGAAGGTCCAATTGATGGCAAACATCCCTGACATGATGATCCATCTGTGCCAGCACCCCTTGAATTTCTGAGAATGAACGATCAAGATGGTCCATTAGGAGGCGAGTATCGTGCTGTTGTGCTTGAGCAAACTGCAACACATCTTCAATTTCAATGTTATGGAGAGCTAGAACTCATAGCAGCTGGCAAATTGAAGGTTGCACATAAGTGACTAAGTATTCCTCAATTCTGTGAGTACTGAGGCGGTGAGTTAACCCCATAGTAGTGGCGTCCAAATAAGACATGTACAGCATATATTGATTTTCTTGATCGCGTTGATTATAAAACAGACTCACAGCATTTTCCCCACTCTCATCCTCGTATAGGTGATACCCATGCAACAACCATTCCATAATAATTCTTAGTTTTTAAGGAGTCACATTTGTAGAGCATCTGTGTTGGTTAGTCATCAGCTCCAGGCAATTCTCAAATTGCACAGTAATCATAATTTCATCATCCCCTGGTTTGGTAACAGTAAACAATGTTGGTTACAAGTTAGGTGTCCTCCAAGCTTCTTCAGCATGCCATGCTTGGAACCCAATCAGGTTAGGTTGAAACAAATAAGGATTTGTCATTGTATTTTCCCCGTTATAGTTGCTAAGTGGCCCCTGTAGTGAGCACCACTGTTAATTTCTTGGCGTCTAGGTCCACTGTCACTGAGTTTGATTTTCACAGGGTATAGCTACTGAGCAACCCAATTTTAATGATATGAGGATCGCCAATTCTTAAAAAAGACTTAAAATATATATATATGGAGCTATTGCCCCTTATTTCTTCTTTATTTTTTAAATATCTTACAGACTGTTCTGCACTTCTCATCCTCATAACAGACTATCCTCTCTGTAATATTCCATCAGGCTCTTTATACCTTGATTCCCCAGATGGATGCATCCTCATCTTGGTATCTTCTATTCTTCCTCCTTATTCAAGTTGCTCTCATTTGTATCAAATCTCAGCGTGATTCCTCTCAATTTGCTGAGTGTTCTCATTTTGCTCGATTAAGATTTGTGTATCCCCTTTTTCATAAATCTTGAGACTCATCTCAATTCCCCTGTGATCTGCTAATATAGGTACCATATCATCCAGTCATATTAACTTCCCAACAGCATGTGTTTAGCACCTTTTCCTATATAAAGGATGTGACCCTGGCCTCAGCCCCCACCACCACACCTTAGTCCACACTGAAAGGATTATCACCGCCCACCTCAACCCTTTGAACAGACCCCTGATACATCCACATCCTTGAACTCCTTCCTAACACTGTCAAATGTGACCTCAAGGCGCTATGGTTGGATGTAAACCACCCAATTATTGTGGTAAAAATGGCAAACACTTTGTGGTAAGTTCTCCATTGCTCATTCAGAACAGGGAATAAGCTTGTTTCACACTATTCACACAAGGGTTTTTTACAGTGTGCCGTTCTGATTGAAACTCAATTTAACTAATTTTTTCCTGCCCCCAAATCACCCATTTTGGACAAAGGTCTTCAAACTCCACTCAAGCAAAATCTGGCTTGAGCACCCAATTCAAATTATTTTTTGACTATTCACTCACTGACTGCCCCAGATCTAGAAACCTGTTTTTTGACATCAAGTATAGAAGATCCATAACTCATACCTCTGTATCACTTTTAACTGTCTCTTGTGGATGTTGCCCCACATGTTTACCCTTTTTAGGTGCAATTTGAGATAGCCTTGAGAATTTAAGCCACCTCACTGACTGCAATAAGATCCATTCAAAATGAGGCAAGACTCTGGAAGATTACCCCCTCCTTTTCTTAATTTTTCCACCCATTTCTTTCCTCACCTCTTGCTATCAGGAGTTCAGGTGTAATTTTAATAATTTAGTAAATTTCCCTCAGGTTGAGGCCACTTAGTTCTAATAATTAACTTTTATTTTTTATATTTAAATATAATAATAATTAGAGTTAAAAAAAGTAGGTGTGTTATTATTTTGTGATTTATGATCTAAATTATATATATAAGGGTATTTTTACTTTATAATCTTTTAGACTTCTAAGTTATCAAGTATATTAAAGCAATTGTCCTAGTTTACATAATTTTTGTTACTTTAAACTTAGGCTTGGGTTTTATTTTGTTAATTTTTTTGTTAAATAGTTAAACTATATAGATAAACTTTATAAGAAAAATTGACTTATTTTATATAAATACTAAAATATCCAATTGTAAAGGCAACATCAACACAAAGTTTGTGTGTCTCAAATAGAACTGTCAGACAGCCCTCAGGCAGTACCAGTACAAGCTTGATTGGAAAGTTTTTAATAATATCCTATAATGATCTATCATCAACAGAAAGCAACTCAAAAAATCTATTAGTATAAAAATAAACAGGAGGAGTGTCATAAAGATAAAAATTAGATTAGAAAAAATATAAACTATTTTTTAGTTTTTCTCTATTCATTTTTATCTAATAATTTTTGTGTTCCCAACAAATTTAATATCTTTGTTCATTTTTCAAAATGATCACTAAATAAAACATAGTCATTTTATATTAAAATTCAGTAAATTAATATTGGGTTTCTTAGGGGGTGGAAGGCGAGTCGGTAGGGCATACGGCTACCAACCTGAAGGTTGCAGGTTTGATTCCCGCCCTTCGCACATCGATCGGGGTGCCAGCCGAAGGAAACTATTGGCGGTTAGTAGGTATAATAACACGAAAACCTTACCCATGATGTAACCAGAAAAATCCGAGTCCCGATCCGGAGGTGAAAAAATTTTCTACGACAGAGTTGACCCTGCTCAGGTTTCATGTCAATACTTTCTTTCTCTATTTTGGTAATGTCTGTCCCCCGGTCGGCTTGCCTCGAATAAATAAAATATTGGGTTTCTTAATCCCCTCATTTACTCAAATTTATCTTTGTTGACTCAATTTACAGTTTGCCTAAATCTGCCAATTTGCCAGAGAACCACGACCAAATACAATGGCTGATATGATATAGTCGAGGTGCCAAAAACCCAAAAATTATGCTAGAAATGAAAATCTAGGATTATAGCGACAGTATCAGATAATTTTGACATAACATTATATTAATATGCTTATATAAAAAATTGAAAAGAGTGAGATTCAAAATCACGCCTCTGAAGAGACCACAGCTTTAACGTGGCACTTTAGACCAATTTGGCCATCTTTTTTTATAAACTCCATACTTTATTTACTGACTCAGCCATCTGTCCTGACTATTTTCAGAAAATAATATAAATCAGAAAACAATAAAATCTAAAGAACTCAAAAGATCAATTTTAACTTCTTCTTTATGTCACTGCTGCTTCACTGCAAATCTATATGTATAATTGATTTATTCGAGGTACGCTGACCAGGGGACAGACAGTACTGAATCACAACACCCAAAATGACAAAATAAAACTACTAACCAAGTGGGAAGTGGAAACCACTAACCCACCATGGCAGAGGGTGAGGAGGGGTCGGGGGGTTGATTTTCAGAAAGACCCACCTCGATCATGGGATGTTGGTTACAGTACCAGACCAGAGCAGAGAGCCAGGGCATTGGGGCATCCACATAGTGGGGGTGGAGGTCAGCGTAGTAAGAGTTTTCCACTTCCTCATCAAGATAATGATGGGAAAGTGATTCAACAAAAGCTGCGAGGAGAATTTCAGCTTCTTTGTGGGCTTCAGGAAGTTGGGTGAAAAGGGAGATACTGTGGCAGGTGATTTTGGCTGAGGGGTTGAATGAAGCAAGCGTTGCAACATTCAGCAAATCTATGTGTATATGTAAGTCATTTTATATAAGTCTTTATAGTTAGTTGTATATATGTAGGTGACATATCTCTTCTCGGGCAAATAAACCAAAAATAAATAAACTTGGCATAAATAGCTAAATTTTGAGAACCAGCATAGAATTAATTAATATTTATCATTAATATATATGAAAAAGGTAAATATTTTGGTGTAAAAATATTTATTAAAAGTAAGCTGACCATATAGAAGTTTGAAAACTAACCTATTTGAAGCAAGTCATATAATATGAAAATGATATATAACTAATTTTTAATAGGAATCAGTATATTGTTTTGGCTGAGTGGTTTAGGGTTGTTTAGGTAATTATATAGATTTATCTGGTTTAAGCCAAGTGGCTGGTGGTTTTTAGTTGATTCAATGTCTTAAAACTTCCTATACTTATCAGAGGCCATCTTATCTACCAATACAAGATCTAAAATAATTGATTAGAATAATTTAGTAGATTAAACTTGACCAACACTGAGTTAAGCAGTAATGCAATGACTCAGGAATCCTGGGTAAGGTCATGACACGAGGTTTGTAAACCCCTCGGGTAGCTGGTTTACAGGTGACATTGTCAGCAAGAATAGGCACAAGTGGTCAGGAATTAGGGTCAAAATCTCAGAAGAGGTATCATGGGGATAAAATACAAGAAAAGCTGACAGGAAAAAGATATATATAATGCATTTTAAACATGTAATTTAAAATTGAGGGCAGGATTATAAATCTGATCATTGAGAGATTTTATAAAGAAAAGGGGTTTTAAAGGGTCTCAAAGATAAATTTAAATGAATTCAAATAACTGGTGAGAGGGATAAAACAAGGGAGAAAATATCCCCTGATGGATTGGTAATCTTGACATTAACGTGAAAGTCCCTCTATACATTTTAATGATGATTTTCCTAAAATTGAGACTGGTGTTTGCAATAAATTAAGTTCAAGTTAACAATAGTAAGTTTGAGGTCCTGTGGGGTTCTTGGCTCTAGCTTGAGTAGATCAGCTAAAGTCATATTTTGGAGGGCTGAATAAAGTTAGGAAGAGGGATAACTCTGTATAAAAATTGGTATAGAGGAGTTTGTGGATGATTCATAAATATTGGATATGTGTGATAGGTGTCAACTGTGGTGTTTGAATCTTCAGTCATTCCTATGTGGTAGTATTAAGGAGAGAAATTAGTACTGGAGGGTATTTTGGCTCCCCATAAGGCTCAGAAAGCATCAACAAATATTTCCTTTTCTTATATATATTTGATTCTGATGAGGCTAAATTTTTAGGCAAATATTTTTCATGTCAGCATTGGGTCAATATAGCTCAAAGGGCAATAACGCTCACATTGGTGAACACTTGAAAAGTGTCTTAAAAATTTGGGAAAAATAGTACATGAACTTGGGTTATTGTTTTCTTCCATTCATCAAAACTGAGCAGTTCTGGTTATTCAAATTTCCACGTATCTCTTTTCTTTTGCAGGTGGCATAAGGAAATATAAATCTGATGGTAACTTAGAATGAAAGAGGGGTAGTAATTGATGGTACATAGGAAGCTGAGTAGTTGAGCTGACATTATGGGGATAAGGCCAAGAGATAATAGCTCTGTTTTCTTGGGCTTGGTTAAAAACACATTTTGTAAAGGCTTAATAACATTAAGCAGGTTGGTAACTTCAAGTAAAAAATCATAAGGGTAGTTCAGAGGTGATTTTGAAAACTTAGCAGGAGGTACAGGTGGCAGATGTGGGTTTCAGATCTTAATTCCTGCCTAGTTGGTAATATCTGGTGAAGAAATTACCAGTGAACGGTACTTTGTCTCCCCCTAGGACACTGAGGGAGTCAGGAATTAAATGCAACTAATATACATTCTTTTTGGGCACCACTCTATTTAGAATAGTCAAGAGCAGTTCAGAGGAGCCATGCCCAGTTGGTTATTCACAAAACCTCACCCCAGTATTCATAAGCTGAATGTAGTTGCTGAGGATGTAAATAAATTGGATCAGTGTCACCAACATCAATGTGGTAGCACTTCCAGTTTATTAAAGCAGAAGCATATTCATCTGGTTCAACTTTGTCCTCATAATAAAGCCCTAATTGGGATAGCTCCAACGTTCTCGGGATCCTGTAGATGCTCAGAATTTTGGTATTTCTGGAGAATTTCAGTATAAAGGTAAGAAATGGGAGAGGCAATTAAAAATCCTTTGTGGTAGGTTGAATGTAGAGTTTGGGGGTTTCCTCTCATTTATCAATCAAAAATTCTTGTTGGGGCTTTGGGGGTAGTGATAGGGAATTTGGTGTTCAATAACTCATCAATCTTAGGTTTTTTAAAAATTTGTGGGTAACAACTTGTACTTTAAGGCTTGTTGCACTCAGTAAATCATTAAAAAAAATACGTTGAGGCATTAGGGTGGCAACTTGATGTTCAGGTACAGAAGGGTTTTTGCACTCCATAAATCCAATTTTTGTAGGGGCTTTAGGGGTAGCAACAGAGTCTTCTTCAAATTTTGGTTCTTCAGCGGCATCTTACTCTACAACTAAGTTTGACTGGTCATCTGATGCAAGTTCCAGGGTGTCATACATGGCAGGATCACCACCTTGTAACAATGACTTAGGAATCCTGGGATGATTACAACGTGTGGTTTGGGTGACACCTCAGATAGCTGGTTTATTGATTGGCATCGTCAGCTTGGTTAGGCTTGGGTGGTCAGGCATTAGGGCTGAGATGTCAGAGGAGACGTCACAGGGATAAAAGCCAAAAGCTAACGGGAAACTATAACAAAAACATTTTCAATATTAATTAAAATTGAGGGCAGGCTTATATATCTGATCATTGGGAATTTTGTAAAGAAAAATGGTTTTGAAGGGTCTCAAAGAGAAATTCAGATAAAAATGAATAACTGGCGAGAGGATAGACAAGGTAGAAAATATCTACTGATAGTTTGGCGATCTAAGTGATAACTTGAAAGCAGCTTAACAACAAAATTAAAGATCAGATATTTTTTATGTAACCTAATTCAATGCCTTGACATGAATGTATAATTTATACCTGTATAAAATGATGTAAGGTGGAACTAGATTCTAGTCTGATTGATAAATGCAAATAGTTCAAGTCTACTTTATTGCGCATGATTGTAATAAAAGAATATCTTTGGTGTCTTATTTAATGAATGAAATTTTTATCTCAAACATGAAGTGGGATATCTAAATTAAAATTCATAGTAGTATCAGCTTGCAGAAAAAGTCAAGCCACATACTGAATTATTACTTGCTTTTCTTTATCTCACAATCTTGTTTGTTTTAATATCTTTCATTCATCACTTAACACACTTCCTGATAACTTTTTTAAAGCTTTGCGCAGTTACTAAGGTCTGATGACAATATTATTTTACCCATATTTTTTTAATTTTCATAGTATATTAAATGCTTTATATGTAATAAATAAAATATCTTCATATGCTTTACAATTTTTAAATTTCATTTTTTTTGGGGGAGGTATCTGACCAGGTGAAAAACATTACCAGAGCTTAAAAGAGCAAACAAAACAAAATAAAAAATGAGATGGGATGGGATGGGTGTATCAATCAATTCAATGCAAAACTCCAAGCAACACACTCTAACCAAGCCAGAAGCAGAAACTGCTATACAACCATGGGTGAGGGGGAAGGAAGATTGAGAGGCTGTATCAAAATCTGAGGATCGCTTGCTTGGAAATTAATATCCAGCATATCTATTTGGGCTGAAGTTCCAATGTTTGATCCTTGATATTGCCTGTAGTTTACAGAAAACAAACCGTCTCTTAACTCACTAGGCCTATTAAATTCTCCTCAACTCTTCTGGCCAATTTTGGGCATAATTTTTCCTTCATAATTGGGAACTTCATCTGAGGCAGGCAAATTGGCAAGCTGGGGATCCTGAGATCCCAGCTTGCCAACACTCTCCAAAAGCAACTTTAGATACAAATGAAATGAAGATAAAATAAAATAGCTTTTATTAAGACTAGATTTTTTGATAATGGTCATTAGTCCATGTGCCAGTATTTATACCTCTAGGGCATCTCCTGGCCACATCCAGCACAAAATTTCAACAGCTATTTTGCCACTCAGCTTGGCCTACAACTGAAACCTTCTCTTAGGTTCATTGGTGGTAAGATACTCTCAAAATTGGGAGGATTTCAGGTACAAAAATTGTGATAAAAGCATGCAAAGTGGTCCTAAGATCTTCAGGATTTCAGTTTCATCATACTGCTGATGAAACACACCTTCTGTGAAATTCTGGCCTCAATTGAAGAAAATGATGCACCCCTGATTGGGACATCAGCAGGCCTATTCTTTGATAGTCTTAAGTAACCCCTTTTGGGCGGTCCACATAAGTGCTATCATGCTGATTACACATATTGATATACAAATTTCACC